GTCCATCCATCTATCCATCCATCCCTCCCTCCATCCATTCATCTATCTGTCCATCCATCTATCCCTCCCACCGTCCATCCATCCATCTATCTATCCATCCATTCATCTATCTGTCCATCCATCCATCCCATGCCTGTTCTATAACTTCTAAAGCAGGCATGGGCAAGCTTGAGGCCTCCTGGTATTTTGGACTTCAACTCCCATAATTCCTAACCGCCTATAACACCTGGAAGGCTGAAGTGTGTGCATGCGGGCAGCACTAGAAGCTCCTGATGTGCTATGTTTGAATGCTTTCCCCTTTTTTGGGGGGAGGGGAAAACACCAGGTTTGTCCAGTCCAGCCAGCTGGCCAACCACATCCGGCACCACGACAACATCCGGCCCCACAAGTGCAACGTCTGCAACAAGGCCTTTGTGAACGTGGGTGACCTCTCCAAGCACATCATCATCCACACAGGTGAAGCCGTGGGCGGGGAGAGGGGAGCACGGGCAAGTGTGGGAGGCCCACTCACCCAACAAGGGTTATGGGCCCAGTAGCAACCCAGCTGCACTCACAAAAAGTCCTCTGTGAACTCAGCAGGTGGAACCCATAACACCCTTTGTGTGTGTGTATGTGCACAGGTGAGAAGCCCTTCCTGTGCGACAAGTGCGGCCGCGGTTTCAACCGTGTGGACAACCTGCGCTCCCACGTCAAGACGGTGCACCAGGGCAAGGCCGGGATGAAGATGCTGGAGGCCGGGGGCAGCGAGGCGGCCGAGCTCAACATTGTGACCGTGGCCTCCGACGAGATGGTTGCCCTGGCCACCGAGGCCCTGGCTGCCACGGCCGTCACGCAGCTCACAGGCACGTATATGCCGGGGGAAAGTGGTTGCGTCCCGTGCTTGCTGCAGCGCGGCTGAGCCCTTCTCTCCCCCAACAGTGGTCCCCGTTGCGACACCCGTCACGGCGGACGAGACAGAGGCCCTGAAGGCGGAGATCACCAAGGCCGTGAAACAAGTACAGGAAGCCGGTAAGGGTCTCTCTCGTCTTCCAGCCATCCCTCGCTCCAGGATTTTACGCCCCCCTCTTATGGTAGAAATTAGGCATGGCCCATCCATGGTCCTAAAGTACTTACAAAACTAGAGGGCGGTGGTGCTTTGCTTCTAAAGTGTCGCTAAAGCTGGTGCTTTGTTTCTAAAGTGTTGCTAAAGCTGGTCTTTTGCTTCTAAAGTGTTGCTAAAGCTGGTACTTTGCTTCTAAAGTGTTGTTAAAGCTGGTTCTTGGCTTCCAAAGTGTCACTAAAGATGGCGGTTAGCTTCTAATGTGTCGTTAAAGCTGGTGCTTTGTTTCTAAAGTGTTGCTAAAGCTGGTCTTTTGCTTCTAAAGTGTTGCTAAAGCTGGTTCTTGGCTTCTAAAGTGTCATTAAAGCTGGTGCTTTGCTTCTGAAGTGTTACTAAAGCTGGTGCTTTGTTTCTAAAGTGTTGCTAAAGCTGGTCTTTTGCTTCTAAAGTGTCACTAAAGCTGGTTCTTGGCTTCTAAAGTGTCGTTAAAGCTGGTGCTTTGCTTCTGAAGTGTTACTAAAGCTGGTGCTTTGTTTCTAAAGGGTTGCTAAAGCTGGTCTTTTGCTTCTAAAGTTGGTCCTTGGCTTCTAAAGTGTCACTAAAGCTGGTGCTTTACTTCTAAAGTGTTACTAAAGCTGGTACTTTGTTTTTAAAGTGTCACTAAAGATGGTCCTTTGTTTCTAAAGTGTTGCTAAAGCTGGTGCTTTGCTTCTAAAGTGTTACTAAAGCTGGTGCTTTGCTTCTAAAGTGTCGCTAAAGCTGGTGCTTTGCTTCTAAAGGGTTGCTAAAGATGGTGCATTGCTTCTGAAATGATGCTAAAGCTGGTGCTTTGCTTCTAAAGTGTTACTAAAGATGGAGCTTTGCTTTTGAAGTGTTGTTAAAGTTCTGGTGGTGAAAATTTCAGAACTCTAACAAAACTATCAAAATTTCATTGGGAATTTTTATAACAGAACCAATTAGGAACTTCCATTTATAATGAAATTTTGAAAGTTTTATTAGAGGTCCAAAATTTTCACCACCAGAACTTGAGTAACACTTTAGAAGCAAAGCGCCAGCACTCGCTAGTTCTGTAAATACTTTGGAACCATGGATTGCCCATGCCTAGTAGAAATATATAACTGGTCACAAGGGGGCAGCGGTGCCATGCGAGGGGCACACCAGTCAATAATATGTATTGATATTTAATTATTCGATGTTAATATTATTTCATCATGTGTTGCAACGGACGTGCTACAGGAAAACATGTCTTTTTGTCTGGGGACTACTTTGGGGGTTGTGGGGCTTCTTTTACGAGCCACGGGGCAAGGCAAGTTGTCTCTTTGCGCTCTTTCTATGGGAGTATACATCTGACCACAAGGGGGCAGTGGCCCCACACGAGAGAGGGACACCAGCCCGAAGGTAGGCCTTTTATTCCTACCTTCTGTACTGAGCAAAGGAAAGCATGGACTGTGGGAAGAGTAGTGGAATATATATGTGGAATGATGGGTGGAGGGTCTGCATTTGAAGCTTTGGGGGCTTCTCAAGGCACCTACCGTACTTCCCCGAAAATAAGGCCAAGTCATATTAATTTGAGCTCCCAAAGACGCACGAGGGCTGCTTTTCCATATTATACATTTATAATATTACGTATTGATACTTAATACTCTATTCATGTCATTTCATTACTCAATACGTTTGTCATCGTGTGTTGCGACAGACGTGTTACCGGGAAACGCATCTGTCTAGTTATTTTGGTGGTCGCGGGGATTTATTACGAGGCACAAGGAGGCGGGGAAGAAATGAACATGGTGGTGATGGCGATATTACGAGCACCATGGCAGGGCTTATTGCCCGGCGAGGTCCTATTTTGGGGGGAATGGTGCGCCGCCTTCACCCTCTTGGTCCTTGGAGAGGGTCTTACAGGCTGCCCTTTGACCTTCTCCTCACCCTCATCCCTTTGACCCTGCAGACCCCAACACACAGATCCTCTACGCCTGCGACTCCTGCGGGGAGAAGTTCCTGGACGCCAGCAGCCTGGCGCAGCACGTGCGCATCCACACGGCCCAGGCCCTGGTCATGTTCCAGGCCGACACGGACTTCTACCAGCAGTACAGCTCTGCTGCCGCCACCGCCTGGCAAGGAGGAGCAGGGGAGGCGCAGGTGCTGCCTGCCACAGAGCTGCTCTTCCGGGTGCGGGACGGCGGGGAGGCAGCCGGGGCGGAGGCTCCGCAGGCGGCGGAGTGAACAGACACCCCGGCTGGGCTACTGCCTACCGAAAAGAGGCAACGCTAGGAAACCCTGCTGTAAAGAGAGAGGTATTTCCGTACGGGAGAGAGTCCACGTCTGTGAATATTTAGATGAAATAAAGTCAGAGAAGATCAGCTCGCTTGTGAACACTTGAATCGGAGCCTTCTGCCTTCCAAACTCGAGCTGACAAGAGACGAGCGGGTCACAGAACCACACAACCCCACGTCTTCCTTGCTTCTGTGGACTTTCAGAGGACTTGCTTCGTTTCTTCAAGGCGTTGATTGGGCCGGAACCACTAAGTGTCAGGCGGGTCGCTCGTGAACACTTGAATCGGCACCTCCTGCCGTCCAAACCCGAGCTGACGAGAGACGGGCGGGTCACAGAACCACACAACCCCACGTCTTCCTTGCTTCTGTGGACTTTCAGAGGACTTGCTTCGTTTCTTCAAGGCGTTGATTGGGCCGGAACCACTACGTGTCAGGCAGGTCGCTCGTGAACACTTCAATCGGCACCTCCTGCCGTCCAAACCCGAGCTGACGAGAGACGAGCAGCGCCACACAACCCCACGTCTTCCTTGCTCGCGTGGACTTTCTTGCATCTTTCCTTCAAGGCGTCGATTGAACCGGAACCCAGCCTTCCTGGGATTCTTCCCGCAACAGCAAAGTGGGCTCTTCAATGCTTTCCTCCGAAAGGGATCCCACGGAAGCAGTGAAGATCCACAGGGAGCGAGGCCTTGGCTTTCCTCCTCCAAAAGTGGCCCAGACACAACCGTTCGTGACTCTAAGAGGATGCGCATACCCAGTTTACAGAGACTGAGACACTCCTACTGAGGCCACTTCCATCGAGGGTCTTCAACGTGACCGATGCTATCTGGATTGTACAACAGGGTTGAGGGAGGAGGCCTTCCTCCTCCGCCAGGTCTCCTCTGCCTTTTTCCCGGTCACAACAAGGGAGCGGAAAAGCGAGAGGAAAAGCGCCCTCGGCTTGGGCTGGGACGCGGAAGAGAGGTTGCAGATCCCTCTGGCCATTTCCCGCCCTCAGGACGGACTCGGGAGCATTCAGCACAACCCAGGCAGGGATTGTTTTGTATTTTTTAATAAAGTCTTGTAATCCAATGGACACACAAAACAAAACTGCGCTGAGAAAAACAGTTCCATAAATTAAGTGTTAGGAGGAGGAAGAAGAGGAGGAGGAGGACCAGGGACCGGGAAGAGGAGGAGGTACAAAGTCTGTACAAGTGTATAACACTTCCACATCTGGGGGGAAGGAGGAGGAGGAAGTGACGGAGGAGGAAGGGGCGGGCCATGTCTAAATGAAGCGCACTTACAAATGAGTGACAAATACAAAGTCTTGAGTATGAAAATAAGATTTTCTCTGAAAACACATTTTTTTGGCACAGATTAAAAAAAAAGTATGTTGTGGGGATCAGATTTCTCTTCTTTTCTCGTAAAGTCAGTACTTTGTTAAGATAAGATATATATATACATATATATATAAATATATGTATATATATTTATATATATATAATATATATACGTATATATACACGCACACACACCCACGGAGTCCTGCGCTTGTTTTCCCACCAGGAAGGGGGAAAAAATAGCTCTCCCTTTTTTGCGTATTTGATTTCAGTGTAAACTGTACATCCCGGGTGGAAGAAGAGGAAGAGGCGGCGACTGTTGCGGCAATTCTGGGTGGGAGCGGGTTGTGGGTTCAAAGGGCGTGTCGATGCCCCTCGACATCCAAGTCCACGGCGCTGGGCCGTCCCTCCGCCCACCCGCCGGTCTGTCCTTGTGTGAGTGAGTGTGTGCCTGCGCGTCAACGGAGACAGCCATCCGGGCGCCACAACATATCTTCAGCTGTGCAAAGGTCCAAAGTCACTAATTTAGTGCAAAGGCAGTTCTGGCTCCTTCTTTTTTGTGTGTTTTTTTAATAATTTTTTTTCTTAGAAGTTATTATTCTGAAAACGAAAATAAAAATAAGAGCGCCTTCCTTGAACTACTATTTTCCCTCGGCGGGAGGAAGGGAGGGAGGCACCAGGCTGCCTCCTTGGCGCTTCTTCACTGGAGCGACATGTAAACATTGGAGGCCGCGGAGGGAGGGGCACTTCCTGGCGGCCATGATGGGTCCAGGCCCCCGTCCATCCCTTTCTCTCTGTTTTGCTGCCCGGCCTCGGAGGAGGAGACTTGGTTCCACGTCTGTCCTTTCGTCCGCAAGTTCAGACCGAGGCGATGACGATCATCAGGTGCGGGGAGATGTTGGAGATGCTGGCCAGGAGGTCCGGGGCCAGGCGCGAGAGGTGGTTCTCCGAGAACTCGCAGGGCGGGAAGATCTGCAGGACGTACGCCGGCTGCGGGGAAAAATATGGGTTACTTAGCCGTATTTCTTCGACTGGTAGCCTGAAGTTCGCACGTATCGGTTTCCGTTGTGCATGCGCAAAGGAAACCCATATGTGTGCATTTCAGACACCATGAAGAAGCAGAGGGCAAAGGCTTTGCAGGATGTACACCAACTGCAGGGAAAATGATGGGTTGCTTAACTGTAGAGAGAGACCTCAAAGCACACGGCACACACTCTCTGGAGAAACAAGCAGAGAGAGACCTCAAATCACATGGCACACACTCTGACACACAAGCAGAAAGAGACCTCAACGCACAAGGCACACGCTCTCTTGACACACAAGCAGAGAGAGACCTCAAAGCACACGGCACACACTCTCCGGACACACAAACAGAGAGACCTCAAAGCACACGGCACACACTCTCCGGACACACAAGCAGAGAGAGATCTCAAAGCGCACAGCACTACACAAGCAGAGAGACACCTCAAAGCACACGGACACACTCTCCAGACACACAAGCAGAGAGACACCTCAAAGCATGCGGCACACGCAGAAAGAGACCTGAAAGCACACGGACATACTCTCCGGACACACAAGCAGAGAGAGACCTCAAAGCACATGGCACACACTCCCCGGGCACACAAGCAGATAGAGACCTGAAAGCACACGGACATACTCTCTGGACACACTCGCAGAGAGAGACTTCAAAGCACACAGACACACTCTCCGGATACACAAGCAGAGAGAGACCTCAAAGCACACGGCACACACTCCCCGGGCACACAAGCAGATAGAGACCTGAAAGCACACGGACATACTCTCTGGACACACTCGCAGAGAGAGACTTCAAAGCACACAGACACACTCTCCGGATACACAAGCAGAGAGAGACCTCAAAGCACACGGCACACACTCCTCGGACACACAAGCAGAGAGAGACCTCAAAGCACGTGGACACACTCTTCAGACACACAAGCAGAGAGAGACCTCAAAGCACGTGGACACACTCTCCGGACACACAAGCAGAGAGAGACCTCAAAGCACACAGACACACGAGCAGAGAGAGACCTCAAAGTACACAGATACACTCTCCGGACACACTCGCAGAGATAGACCTCAAAGCACTCGGACACACCCTCCGGACACACAAGCAGAGAGAGACCTCAAAGTACACGGCGCACACTCTCTGGACACACAGTGGTCATCTGTGAAGCTCGCACATATGGGTTTCCGTTGCACTTGCGCCAAAGGAAACCCATATGTGTGCAATTCACCGATACCATAAAGAAGAAGCAGAGGACAAAGGCTTTGCAGGATATACACCAGCTGCAAGGAAAAGTGTGGGTTTCTTACCTGTAGCCATATTTCTTGGAGTGGTAGTCTGTGAAATTCACACACATGGGTCTCCCTTGCACATGCGCAAAGGAAACCCATATATGTGCATTTCACAAACACCACAAAGAAGAAACAGAGGGAAAGGCCTCGGAGGAAAAGTATGGGTTGCTTACCTGTAGCTGTATTTCTTCGAGTGGTAGTCAGAAAATCACATGTATTGGTTTCTGTTGTGCATGCGCAAAGGAAACCAATATGTGCATATTTCACAGACTACCACAAAGAAGAAACAAAGGCTGACCCCAAGACCCTCAATCAGCAGGTGTGCCGCAAGGGCAACCAGCAGAAAGTGGGGCAGAGCAGTGTTTCCTTACCCCACTTCCATTACAAAACCTGCTTGCACGAGGAGCTGCAAATAGTTGGCTACACCCTCTGCATATGCCAACATGGATGGAAAACCTGCCTTCCCGGCTCTTTACCTGGTTGGATCCCGGGTTGGGGACGTTGATGATGCCGGCGGCCTGCTTGGCCTGCAGGTAGCTGATGAAGGCGGCCTTGAGCGACTCCGTCTGGTTCACCACGTCCTCTTGGTCTCGGCCGCAGGGCAGGGCCAGGAGCAGACAGTAGTCGCTCTCCACCTGGAAGGCGAGGCACAACAAGGCGGCTAGTGGACGTCCGGAAGGTCAGCCAGGGCCACCTCCTCCCCCGAGGCCCAGGAAAGACCCCCATCTTGGCCCCGGGTTTGGCCGCAGGACACAACTGGCCACTTCCTTGAGCCAGCCCTCAGCAAAGGGCAGGGGACACTCACCGTCATGCGCCGTGCCACCCCCTCCAGCTGCGACGCCTCCAGCCTCATGCGCTGGGCGATCCTGAGCGGAGGACCCCCTTCCGGTGCCGGTAGGGAGCGGTGCGCCAGGACGTTGTTGCCGGAGACAAAGTGCAGCTGCACGGCCGCCGTGTCATTCTTAAGCGCCAGCAGCCCCTGCCATACTATGGGATACTTCTGTAGAGGGGGGAGAGGGAGAGGGAGGTCAAGACCACGGCCAGGCCCAGAGAAGCAGAAGGAAACCCCTGGCATGGAAATGCCAGAGAAGAGAGGACTGAGCACTCAACTGGAGCCGGGCTGTAGCACAGCTGGTTAATCGCTGGCAGCAATAGATCACTGCAAGTTTGAAGCTTGAGTCAGATTGAGCATCCGACTGTCAGGCCTAGCTTACTGTCCACCTAAGCAGCTTGAAAACAGCTGAGCTGTGAGTAGAGAAAGTAGAGACCGCTTAAAGCGGGGAGGTATTTTACGACACCATAAAAATGCTGGCGATCAAAGAACGAGGAGGAAATATGATCAAAATAACTCTGCGTTATAGTTCTCGATTCCTGTGGCCGAATCGAGCATAACCTCTGGGCGCTAAAGTTGGAAATGCCAAAATACTTCCATCTTGTATGTCTAAAAATGGCACTGAATGTTTGCCGTGCATTGTGACCCACCTTGAGTCCCCTTCGGGGTGAGAAGGGCAGGATATAAATACTGTAAATAAACAAATAAACATTTTCCCCCCCCCCCCGACCCCAACCATTATCATCACAATCCGCAAAGACAAGGTGAGCGACTCACGGTCAGGAGCTGGACCATGTCCACAGGCCGCTGGGTGACCGGGTGGGAGCCGGGTTCCTGCTTGAGCACCGACTGGGGCTCCGGCCGGGCGAGGGACAGCCCTGAGGAGGAGGCCGGGGCGAAGAGGGCTGCTTGCTGCTGCTTCTGCGCCAGGGCCGCGTGTGGGGAGGGAAGCTCTTGCTTGACGGCGATGGCCACGGGGGACGGGTAGGAGGCCTGGCCCGCTTCCACGGGGCCACGAGGGAGGTGCAGGTGGGGCTCCATCGCAGGTACATGCCGGCCGACCGCGGGGTGGTGAGCCGGCTCCTGCCCCGAGGCCTGGCCCGCCTTCGGTTCCTGTGGTAATGTCTTGCTGTGGGGGGGCTGGCTGGGGTGCACGTGCTCCCCTTCCGGGAGGCCCTGCAGGGGGGCAAGCGAGAGGCAGAAGGCGGTTAGGGCCCCGGTCATAGAATCATAGAATCAAAGAGTTGGAAGTGACCTCATGGGCCATCCAGTCCAACCCCCTGCCAAGAAGCAGGAATATTGCATTCAAATCACCCCTGACAGAGAGACCTCAAAGCACATGGCACACACTCTCCTGACACACAAGCAGAGAGAGACCTCAAAGCACATGGCATACACTCTCTGGTCCCCTTTTGGCTGGTGCTCACTCTCTCAAGGAGGGTTGCAGGTCCAAGGGCCTCAGGACCTACTCCCTGTTGGAATTCAACCTCACACTGCCCAGGTCTTGTGTGTGTGTGGAGAGTGTGTGCTGTGTGCTTTGACATCTCTCTCTGTTTGTGTGTCAAGACAGCGTGCGGTGTGCTTTGAGGTCTCTCTCTGCTTGTGTGTTAGGAAAGAATATGCTGTGTGCTTTGAGGTCTCTCTCTGCTTGTGTGTCAAGAGAGTGTATGCTGTGTGCTTTGAGGTCTCTCTCTGCTTGTGTGTCCGGAGAGCATGCGCTATGTGCTTTGAGGTCTCTCTCCGTTTGTGTGTCCAGAGAGTGTATGCTGTGTGCTTTGAGGTCTCTCTCTGCTTGTGTGTCCGGAGAGCATGCGCTATGTGCTTTGAGGTCTCTCTCCGTTTGTGTGTCCAGAGAGTGTATGCTGTGTGCTTTGAGGTCTCTCTCTGCTTGTGTGTCAAGAGAGTGTATGCTGTGTGCTTTGAGGTCTCTCTCTGCTTGTGTGTCCGGAGAGCATGCGCTATGTGCTTTGAGGTCTCTCTCCGTTTGTGTGTCCAGAGAGTATGCTGTGTGCTTTGAGGTCTCTCTCCGCTTGTGTGTCCGGAGAGTGTGTGCCGTGTGCTTTGAGGTCTCTCTCTGCTTGTGTGTCAAGAGAGCGTGTGCTGTGTGTGTTGCGGTCTCTTTCTGCTTGTGTGTCAAGGGAGTATGTGCTGTGTGCTTTGAGATCTCTCTCCGCTTGTGTGTCTGGAGAGTGTGTGCCGTGTGCTTTGAGGTCTCTTTCTGTTTGTGTCAAGGGAGTATGTGCTGTGCGCTTTGAGGTCTCTCTCTGTTTGTGTGCCTGGAGAGTGTGTGCCATGTGCTTTGAGGTCTCTCTCCGCTTGTGTGTCTGGAGAGTGTGTGCTGTGTGTGTTGAGGTCTCTTTCTGCTTGTGTGTCAAGGGAGTATGTGCTGTGCGCTTTGAGATCTCTCTCCGCTTGTGTGTCTGGAGAGTGTGTGTGCTTTGAGGTCTCTCTCTGTTTGTGTGTCCGGAGAGTGTGTGCCGTGTGCTTTGAGGTCTCTCTCTGCTTGTGTGTCAAGAGAGCGTGTGCCTTGTGCGTTGAGGTCTCTTTCTGCTTGTGTGTCAAGGGAGTATGTTCTGTGCGCTTTGAGATCTCTCTCCGCTTGTGTGTCTGGAGAGTGTGTGCTGTGTGCTTTGAGATCTCTCTCTGCTTGTGTGTCCGGAGAGCGTGCGCTTTGTGCTTTGAGGTCTCTCTCTGCTTGTGTGTCCGGAGAGCGTGCGCTTTGTGCTTTGAGGTCTGTCTCTGCTTGTGTGTCCGGAGAGTGTGTGCTGTATGCTTTGAGGTCTCTCTCCGCTTGTGTGTCCGGAGAGTGTGTGCTGTGTGCTTTGAGATCTCTCTCCGCTTGTATGTCAGGAGAGATGTAGTGGCTGAGTTTTTCTCTCTTGAAACCTTGGAAGAGATGGGTGCTAGAGTAGTTCAGACCCAGTTCTTGATTCTTAAGGAATGTACTTAGTGCCTTATTATTGTAAACAAACCTCTTGTAATTTTTTAAAACATGGGACTCCTAAGCTCTGAATTCTTAACAGCCACACGCAAGGGCACTTCAAGCTCTGTTCGCTAATGAGCTTATGCTCAGCTTAATGAATCCTGTTTGTTTTTGGGTGCTCTGCTGTATATTTTAGAGTAGTTTTCCCTAACATTCCCTAGCGTAGGCATGGGCAATCTCCAGCCCTCCAAGTGTTTTGGACTTTAACTCCCACAATTCCTAACAGGCTGTTAGGAATTGTGGGAGTTGAACTCCAAAACACATGGGGGGCCTAAGTTTCCCCATGCCTGCCTTAGAGATTGAGCCCCGGCACTAAAAGACCTGCCAGAACTGAAGCTATTCGAGCCTAGAGTTTGGGTTTTGCTCTCTGCAATACTACCTCTAGCCGACCGCTAGACCCAACCGACTCCCACACACCCCCAGTACCCTCAAACCTCACGGCCCAAGCTGGACATCCCATTTCTGTGGCAAGACCATGCACCTAACCAAAGCTGGGGGAAAGAGCTGCCCTCCCTGCCTCAATTGCCTTCATTCCCAAAAACTTTCTGCCCATGGTAGGTTTACAGAAGCGCAGGATTTAGGGGACACTTCAGGACTCATCTGCTCACTCCTGGGGAAGATATCTAAACCCTGCATCCCAAGAGAAGCCTCTCTTACCTGAGAGGGGGTCATACTCCGGGAAGGCAGCCCAATGGACGACGTCCCGGAAAACGGCGGGTGCCCAAGCTGAGCAGCGGGGTGGTAGCTCTGCATGTCGCTGTAGGCCGGTCGGTAGTCATGGAAGGAGCTTCCGGCGGGGTGCATGAGCTGGACACCGTGGGGCACGACGACAGGCTGTGCGAGGGGCAGCCCCAGCAGCTGTCCACTGAGGAGACGGGGCTCTGCATGGGGCGAGTGGGCCATCTTGACCTCGGCGGCCTTGGTGGCCTCCTTGCCCGGCTGGAGCACCTTGGGGGCAGGGGGCGTCTTGACGGAGGAGCGCCCCTCTGGCGTCCGGGCCTGCCGTGCCTCTGAGTGGTGGTCCCCGCCCACTGCTGCCATGTGTGGGTGCATCATCATGCGGACATCCCGGGGCACGTTGTACCGGATGCCGGAGGGGTGCACGCGGTAGTCGGGCTGCATGACGAGGACGTCGGACTGGACAGGGGCCGAGCTGCGGCAGACGCCGTGGTGGAAGTGCATCTCCTCCTCTGAGGAAGACAGGGCGGGCATGACCATCTCCCGGATGGGGGCCGGCTGCGGGGTGCTGGAGCGCTGTGGCTGCGGCTGCAGGGCGGCTCGGGGGGAGTGCAGCTCAGAGCGGATGCCGTAGGGCATGCCTGCCAGAGGAGGGGTGTTCATGCGGACCTCCCCTTGCGAGAGGTGACCCAGGGAGACTGTCTGGGTGACGCTGTGCGGGGGCATGATCACCGACTGCTCCGGGTGCATGCTGGAAATGTACTGCGGGACAGGGATTCCCGGGCAGGGTGAGCCCTGGATGCCCAGCATGGAGCGGTCCCCGGAGAGGGCCGGGGAGGAGGGGCCGCCCGGGTGGCAAGCCCTCGGGAACGGGGAGGGCGAGTGGCCGCTTGTCCGTGGGGAGAGCGGCTCCTGCTTCACGACCCCCAGGTGTGGGGCCCCGCTCCCGGTGCTGACGTGGTTCGCCTCCGGGTGGATCTTGCTGGATAAGGAAGAGTGGTGGGAGCCAACCCCAGGGCTCAAGCTCACGGACTGCAGAGTCTTCACCTCCCCTTTCAGAGCGGCTGCATCTGGGTGCTGCTTTTTGTTGCCCTGTGAGAAGACCTGGTTGTGGACCAAGATGGATGGAGTGTTGGAAGACTGGGAGAGCACCTTGACTGGCCCGGACTGAGAAGGGGCCGCCTGGACCGAGAGGTGAGGTGGCTCAGGCTTCTCTAAGCTGTTGCGTTCCTGCTTGATGGAAGAGAGCTGGACCGTGGAAGGGCTGTACTGCTGCGGCCCTTGCACCAGAGACGGGGTGGGCATGCCCCCGTACCCAGCGGGCGGCCCCTGGGGAACCTTTGGGACGGTCTGGGCGGGGCCCAGGGGCTCCTGCTTGATCTGTGACTTGGAGACAGATTGCTGGAACTCGATGTCCACGGCGCTGGCCGGAGGAATCTGACTGATCTTGGCACTGATCCGCTGTGGGCCCTCGGTCTTCTGGCCCGAGTAGCTGAGCAGGACCACTCCTTCCGAGGTGTTGACGCGGAGGCCTGGGCTGGACCCCGGGGTCTCCACCGGCCGGTCTTCTATCACAGACATGGAGCCAGGGTGGAAGCGGCTGTTGTCATTGGCGCTGGGCCGTTGCTTATATTTGGGGGAGAGGGCGCTGACCAGGCATGTCTGGGGTTGGGCTTGCTTCACCAGCGTGATCCTGGGGGTCTCCTCGAGGTCGATGCTGTGGGGCATTCTGCTGATGACCGAGGTGGCCTTGGGGGCAATGACGGTCACCATCTTCTCCTTCTCAGGGAACACGGGGGCCTCTGTGGCCGGCGGCTCCAAGGCATTGGCAGCAGGGACTGCTGGTTTCTCCTCTGGTGCAGGGTGTAGAGGGGCATCCTCCACATGAGGAGAACTCACTGGGTCAGGAATAGCTGCGGTCACGTGGGTCGCGGTGGCCCCAGCAGGAGACACATATTTAGGCTCCATCAGGATCTTTCGCAAAGTGCTGGAGCTCGTGTCGACGTCAGAGGCTTTCGTATCAGGAGGAAGGGCTGGCGGAGGTGGGGTGGAGCGGACCCGGGTCTCTTCGTGCTTCACAATCCACTCTGTGGCCTTTGCCGCACCTGGGTGCAGTGGGACTGCTCCGGAAGGGACTGCGGTGGGGAGCTTCACAGGTGGAATAGTGGGCAGGGGCGCACTTGGGGGAGGCACAGGGGGGACATCGGTTGCAGGATGTACCTTGAACCCTCCTCCGCTCAGGCTCACCTGGTCCTCTGGAGCGGCCGGTGGAGAGGGCAAGCCCACTGGGTCTAGCGCTTTGGGTGGGGTGCTGACCCGCTCTGTAGGAGGCTCCTGAGACACGGCCTCGGCCTTGATTGCATCAGGAGCAGCCAGCAGGGAGGCTGTGGCAGGAGAACGCTTTGCTTGACCCTCCTCCTTCATGGTACCATCTGGCTTCCCCTTGACCTCACTGGCAATGGGGGACTTGGTCTGCACCCGTTCGGGTTCAACGGCGGACCTGTATTCTGTGGCTTCCCCCTTCTTATTTGAGCTCCGCTTCCTTCTTGGCCTTGTGGACTTCTGCCGGCCGCGCTCCTTCCGAGATACCTCCACCTCCTGAGGGATATCAGCCTCCTGTGCAGAATTAGAAGATTCACTAAAACTCACTTCCGGCTCCTTGCTTTCTGCCTCGGGGGCGGATCCAGGGGCCGCAGGAACCAGAGGCTCGGCCGAAGCTGCCTCCGACTCCAGGATGTTGCTCACGGCTTGGTCGGTTTCAGGCTCCATGTCCTCCTCTCGCGCAGGAGGCAACACGAGGGGCTCCGCTGGTATTTCAGGCTCGGAGTCAGCTGGGTATGTCGGGGGAGCAGGGAAGGCTTCTGTCTCTCCGGAAATGTCATTGATGATTGATCCAATGGCGGCGGCCAGTTCCGTCTCGCTGGCCTGGTGGGCAGGTTTGTCTCCGTCTTCCTCCGGGCGAACCTCTGACACCTCGGCAGTCGGTTCCTTGTAGGCCACAATGGCTGGGGTTTCGGTCAGCTTGGCGATGTTCTCCACAGCTTGCTCCAGCTCAATCTGCTTGGCCAGCTGGTCGGCTTGAGGGGGCAGCGTTGACTCGCAGGTGGTTTCCTTGTCTGCCGCCCCTTGAAGGGGGTCTTCCGCCTCGCTCTTCATGAAGTGGGGCGACAACTTGTCCTCCTTTAGGGGGCTTTTGCTTTTGGGTGACAGGGCTGGAGTGGGGTCCGTTTCCTCCTCACTTGGCCGAAGAGCCCCTTTGACTTCATCCACGTTGAGGCGGATCTCCACGTTTTTCAGGGTCTTCATCAGGGATACTTTATCTGTGGCTTTCGCACTCCTGGACCTTCCCCTTTTGGACTTGGTGACTTTCTCTGGGACAGGCCTCCGTTCCACAATCTCCACTGGGAAGACTTCAGCGGCACCTCTCTCTGTCTCAAGCTCTTTTCTGTCCCGCTTCTGCTCAACCGTGAAGATCTCCTTCTCCGCCTTGGGCTTGCTGTTCTCACTGGCATTCAGCCCTTGGCTGGGAGGTTCAGATGGCTCTTCGGGGTCCGCAAAGGTCTCTACCTTGGTCTCGCTCTTCCCTTTCTTGCCTTGCGGAACACTGGCTGCCAGAGGGTGGCTATGCACGGCCTTCTGGGATCTGGGCGATCTCCAGCCCTCCGCTGGTTTAGGGATCTCCAGCAAGTCCTTCACGTCAGTTTCCTCCACTTCCGGCTGCACCAGTTCGACTTTGACGGGAGAAACTTCCTCCTCCGGTTTGCGCCGTGCCTTTGGAGGCCTGCCTCTTCTCGGAGGGGTGGGAATGGTGGTGAGATCGGGGGCTTCCCGCTCGACCCTTTTCCGGGTGCTCCTGGTGATCTCCAGAGTGTCCTTCACAGGCGAGGGCCCTTCGTGGTCACCCCCCGTGGTCGCGTACACCGAACGCACGTTCCTCCGTCTCGTTCGGCTGATGGGCAAGCTGGGTTCTGGGGCCTCGGGCTCTGCGGTGACACTCGGAGATTTGGCAGCATTGCGCACAACCTTCTCTGGTTCCATCTTGGGCGCTTCCCCACGTGGAGAGCCCGACCTCTTCAGCTTTTCCCGGTCAATCCTCTCACTCTTTCTTGTGACAGGCTTCTCCGCAACACTTACGACGGGAGGTTGAACAGGGTTTTTGGCGCGCTTGCTCTTATAGGACTTCTTGTCCTTCACGACAATGGGGGGCTCAGCTTCCATCTCTGTGTCGGAAATGGGAGGGTGAATCCCAAGGGGCGTGCTCTCGACTTTCTGGCCCAGAGTGGGCGCTTCTGAATGGATGGACAAGGAGACGCTTTCTTCTTGAGGTTCAGGCACCTCCTCTGTCTTTGTGGCCAATTTGGGGGGAGGTGAGACTACTTCTGGCTCCGGATCTGTGCTGACATCTGTTTGGGAGAAAGAAGACCCCGGCGTAGGAGGCTTTGTATCCAAATACAAGGGGTGCTCCACGGGTAGAGAGTCTTCTTCAGGGGCAGCTGTGGGAAGGGCTGCCTCCTTATTGCCCTCCGTGGCTAGTGGCGCTTCAGTGTGCTCGGGCGACTCTGTTTTAAGAGGCGGTGCAAGGAGCTCAGGAGGTGGCTTTGGTTCAGCCACAGGACCTAACTCCGCCGGCGGCCTCTCCTCTTTGGAAGACGAGGATGTTTCTGGTGGTGGCTTCTCGTGCACTACTCTCTCTGGAATGGCTAGTAATGGCTCTTGTTGCGCCGGAGTAAATGGCGACGGCCCAACCAGAGGTGGAGGCTTAGGCTCTGGTTCTTTATGATCAGGTACAGATTCGGGCGTCTTGGGCCAACTCTCCTCGCTCTCTGGCTTCTCTACTTCTTTGGCTTTCTGGTCCTTCTCCTTCTCCTTCTGCTGCATCCGGGTGAGCTCCACAAATCTGCTGTGGAAGAGCACCACCGGCTCCGGCACAAAGTCCGATATACTGTTGGTACCGTCAAAGGAGCTCTGCCTGCCGTACAAGCGGCCAGAGAGGAAGTCGAGGTCTTCATCCTTCCTCTCCAAGTGCTGCAGGCGCCTGGAGTCCTGCTCAAAGATGGAGCTGTGTAAAAAACGCGAGGCAAACAGCTCTTGCCGCTCCTGCTCCTCCTCCTTGTGGTCTTCCTTCTTATCGTCCAGCTTCCCTTCGGAATCTGTCCTGATCTTCTTCTTCTTCATATACCAGGAGGGGATGGGCCTTGGCGCGGAATCCACTTTCTCTTTGTCCTTGTTGTTCCGAAAACTAGCAAACCTCGAATCCCAGTCTAGGAAAGACCAGTTTTCTTCCCTAGACGACGAGAGAGACTTTGCTCTTTCCAGCAAGGCTTTCGTGTCAGGCGTGATTGTCTTGTCCAGGGCGAAGGAGTAGAATTTATTCCTTTCCAAAGAGGGCGGCAGCCTCTCCTCCCTCTCGCGGAGCTTGTCTTCCCTGTCCCGCAATAAAAAAGACAGCCGGGAGCTCTCAGGTAACGAAGAAGGCTTCGGAGAATGGGGTTTGCTGTCGCCGCCGCCACCGTCGTCATCCGAGTCCGAAGGCACCTCCCCTGGTTCCAGATCCCGCAGGGACCGCTTCCGAAGGCTGTCCCTCTTGACGATGCTACTCGGAAAGCTAACATCCACTCGACCGGACTCGTGCTTCACCGGAATTTCCCATCGGTTTGACTCATCTTCAGAACTCAGGGCCGACATCTTGATTTTAGCCATTTCGACCATCTGCTCTCTCAGGCTGGAATCGTAGGGGTTGAACTTCAGAGAGTCTTCTCTTATGGCTGCTATGCCGGAGTAAGGAGGGCCCCTGTCCTCTACCTTGGGTGACTCTTTGGCTTCTTTGATGGGCATCAGCCTCGGGGAGCCCAGCATCTCATCCTCGTCATGAAACTGGAAGGGGCGCAGGCCCGGAGAGCAGACCGTCCTTTCTGAGTCCTCGCTCATCTGGCGGGAGCTGCGGTAGTTCCTCTCCCTCTTGGTGCCAATCTCAAAGTCGAAGGCGTCGGAGGACTTCTTCCGCTTGCTGGGAGGAGAGTCATCCGTCACGTCCTGCGGGGGCTTTCCCACTTCGTGCACCAGGCTGCGCCTCTCGTACTCGTCCAGGTCCTTCTTGGGGCTGCCAAACTTCTCGTGCTTCACCACCTCCATCTCCATTTGCTGCTTCAGCCGACGGCTCAGCTCCATCTGCTTCCGGTAACTCTGCGTGTGGTCAATGTCGATGGGGGTTTTCTCCTCGAGGTCGGAAGACTGGGACCTGTCCTGGGCAGGTTTGTGGTCGGGCACCTCTTCCAGGTGACCGCAGTAGTTCTTCCAGGCCTCCTCTCCCTCGGCCCCTCGGTCATCCTGCGGGTGCTGCTGCTGATGCGTGTGCCTGTGCTGCGGCTTCATGGCGTTGGCCTTCCGAGGGGGGACGTCGGGGGTCTCCGCCGGCGGCTCATCTACTGGCTCCCCCAGCCTCGCCTGCAGCTCCAAACTGGGTCGGAAGCCAGCTGAGACACTGGCCAGCTCCAAGGTTGTGTCTTTGGGATTGGGAGCAGTCATCAGCCTTTCCAGCTTGGTTTTCTTGGACTCCCTTTTGAGCTGCTCCTTCCTCGGGAGCTTCCTCTCAGAGTCAACAGTCACGTCAATCTGCTTCCTCAGAATCACAGGCCGGTCCTCTTCCTCTTGACTACTCCGTTTAATTTCCAGTTTCTGCTTCTCGGGCTTTGGGTTTGCGTCGGCAAAGCGCCTCTTGCGAGCCTCCAGCTTTTCTAGATCGACTGGATTGATCACTTCGCTCAGCGGATCCGCCTTCAGGTGTTTCTTGGGCTTTGCTTTCCCGTCCTTATCGACCACTTCGATGTGACTGGCCAGCATCTTCTCTTTGGATCCTTTCGTCCTGACGGGCTCCAGCTTTGGCTGCTCCAACTTGCCTTGGTCGGCCTGGGAAGTCGGGCCCTTCTGCTCCAGCAACGGGGACTTCAGGGCCTCGCCCTCTGCCTTCCCCCGCAGCTTCTCCAGGGCGGCGGGCTGGTCGACCACCTTCCCTTCCTTCTCCTTCACCCGTGTCAACACCACGCAGGGCATCAGCTCCAGGCGGTTCTTCGCGGCCCCTTCTTTCTCAGCTCTCTCTCGGCTGGCTTTGCTGCTGCTTTTCACTTTCTCAGGACTTGGCTCTTGCTCATTTTCTTGTTCCGTTTCGGAAGACTGTGAGCTTGGGGAGTGGATTTTGGCCTTGCGCTTTTGCTTCTCCGCCTTCTCCTTGTCGGGCTTTTCCGGCTTCTCTTTCCTCGCCAGGCGCTTGTCTTTCTCGGGCCTCTCCTGCTCAAAGGCCCGCTCTTTCTCGGTCTTCTCAGCCTTGGCGTAGCGCTCCAGGCGGGCCTTGTCCAGCTTGTCATAGCGCGGAGGAGAGAGTGAGCTGCAGCTGCCGCTCCGCTCCGACGACCGGCTGTAGATCCGTCTCTCGGAGTCGCTCTGGAGTCTCTCGGACTGCGAGGGAGATGCGCCGGCACTCTGCGGCCGCCGGGAATGCGCAGGGCTCTGGCTCCTCTCAATGGGCCTCCGCTCGTGCTCCCGATCCCGGTCGGTCTCAAAGCGTTCCCGCTCCCGCTGCCTGTAGCTGTACTCCCGGATGTCCTGCTCGTAAGGGTCTCCCCTGTAGTCCCGGTACTCCCGCGGGTCGTCATAATACCGCGGGTCATAGTAGTCCCCCTGGTAAGGGTCCCAGTCAGCATAGAACTCCCTGCCACGGGCCGGGTACTCTCTCCGCGGGTCCTCTGGGTAGGTCCCCGGCGTCCGGACGGCCTCATAGTAGGTGCGCTCTGCCGTGTATTCGTAGGATCCCCGCCGCTCCTCTCTGCCAGGGAGACAAAAAGAAGTCAGACTCAAACAATGATGGATCTGGACCAAACTTAGGATGGATACTCAATATGCCCAGATGCTAACACTGATGGAGTTTGGGGAAAATCGACCTTGACTAAGTACTTGCCTCCTTTCAGCCAGCATTTCGTAGAAGTCCCGGATGTCCTGCCCGGTCTTCTCCATGGAGTGATAGAAGGCCAGCTGGCTCTCGCGGTTGGCAAAGTCCACCTGAGGAAGGAAGGAGGAACGGGAGGCTCAAGGGGGGTGTTTGCCAAATTGCGCAAGCAAGCGCACTCCCTTCCCTACCATTGCGGGGCACATGTGTGAATTGGTCAGGAAAGCCCTTCCGTCCCCATTGCTCTTTCTGCTCTCTCCTCCTAATTCTGGCTCTGAGGCTCCAACTTTTCAGTAAAATGCTTCTTTTTCTGCCCACATTGCAAGGCCCTTGAGCTCTCCATTGCTGCCTTCTCCTGTGAGCATGGAGAGAGGCAAGATGCCGCCAGGGAGACAAATCCTTTGATAGCAAGGCCCTAACTCTCCTATCGAGTAATATTCTTTTATTATCACTATTAAAGCTTGACTTTGCTCCTGTAATTGCTGAAGCTCATTCACTCTACAGCTAACACTCAAGGAGCTTCCAATCTGCTAAACTGCTGCTACTTTGTTCTCTCCCTATAAGCATGGAGAGAGGCAAGATGCCTCCGGATAGTTGACCCTGACATCCCTATCTAGTAATGGAGTTCTTCCAACAGCTTTTAAAGCGTGACTCTGCTCCTGTAATTGCGGACGCTCATTGGCTCTACTGCTAACACTCAAGGAGCTTCTGGTCTGCTAAACTGCTGCTACTTTGCACTCTCTTGTGAGCATGGAGAGAGGCAAGATGCCTATGGATAGCTGACCCTAACATTTCCATCTAGCAATGCAGTTCATCCAATAGCTTTTAAAGCTTGACTCTGCTCCTGTAATTGCAGACGCTCATGGGCTCTACTGCTAACACTCAAGGAGCTTCCAATCTGCTAAAGTGCTGCTACTTTGTTCTCCCCTGTGAGCATGGAGAGAGGCAAGATGCCTACGGATAGCTGACCCTAACATTCCCATCTAGCAATGCAGTTCATCCAATAGCTTTTAAAGCTTGAGTCTGCTCCTGTAAATTGCTGAATCTCTTTGGCTCTACTGCTAACAATCAAAGAACTTCTCGTCTGTTAAACTACTGCTACTTTGTGAGCATGGAAAGAGATAAGATGTCTCTCTACAGCTGGCACTGAAGGAGCTTCTGATCCGCCAAACTGCTGATTTATATTTTTGTAATGACCCAAGAACACCCTCCTTGTGGGAGGAAGCCAATGAAAACCGGAATAGGAAGTGAGCGACAAACCCAAAAAAAGAGGGACCGCATAGGAGAGAGAGAAAGAGAGTGAGAGACAGGGAACTAAAGCGCGTGGGGAAAGGAAAAGGGGAGCAAAGCAACGGAAGGAGAGACAAGAAGGAAGCCTGGCCAAGAACCTTCCAAAGCAGCAGAGGGGACGGATGGTTGGGGAACAGGGCAACGTGATGATGATGATAATAATAATAATAATAATAGTAATGACACAACAGTGTTTGTTCATCGAGTCCCACCCTTCCGGAAAACTGGCCTAGGTTTATCTCCCCCTCTAATTGCCCTGGAAGAAGAAGTAGTCAACGTGGCCGACCTTAATCTTATTCCCACCGATCTTCCTGCCCTTGGTCTCTTTAACAGCGGCCTGCGCATATTCAATCTCATTGTAGAGAACGAGAGCCATGCCTTTTAAGCGGTCAAACACCACCTGCAAGAACAGAACAGAACAGAACAGGACAAAATGAGAAGAAGGAAGGAAGGCCCGCCTCGGCCGGAAGGAAGAGAGGGAGGGAAGGAAGTAAGGAAGTAAGGAAGGAAGGAAGGAAAGAGGGGAAGGCAAGGAGCACAAGGACCGCGTTATTGCCATAGTCGGTATTATTATTACTATCACCATCATCACGACTATTATCGACACCCCACTTTGCCTCTCTAACAAAACCTTGAATGCAAGACCATTTAAAAACCTTTGGAAAAATATATAAACGTCCAAACCAGGCATGGGTCAACTTCAGCCTTCCCTCCAGGTTTTTTGGACTCGGACTCCCACAACTTGGGTATGCAGATGATCCTTTGATTGACTTAAGTATCCAGTTCCAAGAGGAGAAAGGCGTGGGGTGACTTCAGCCTACCCTCCAGGTCTTTTGGACTCGGACTCCCATAACGTGGATATGCAGATGATCCCGTGACTAAGTACCCAGTTCCAAGAGGACAAAGGCATGGACCAACAGTAGGCTGTTAGGAATTATGGGAGTTGCAGTCCAAAACACCTGGAGGGAAAGCCAAAGATTGCCCGTGCCTGGTCCAAAGCCTTAAATATGGCCTCACGCAGGAAATTTATTATTGTTGTTATTCTTGATGTTGTTGTTGTTGTTGTTATTATTATTATTATTATTATTATTATGAGACATCCTAAGGACCCTTTGGGACATCTGAGTCCCCCTCAGGGAGAAAGACCGGTATACAAATAAAGTTTTATTATTATGAGTTACACAAAAGCACATAATAATAATAATAACTTTATTTGTATTATTATTATTATTATTATTATTATTATTATTATTATTTTATTTGTTCTGTTCTGGATATGTATTATCTTCATTTACTGTTGGCCCTTTCCCCTTAGAGCAGTGGTTCTCAACCTGTGGGTCCCCAGGTATTTTGGCCTACAACTCCCAGAAATCCCAGCCAGCTGACTAGCCTTTGTCCTCCTGGAAGTGGACACTTCAGAATCAAGGGATCATCTGCATATCCACGTTATGGGTGTTGAAGTCCAGAACACCTGGAGACAAGGCTGAAATTGGCCCATGCCTTTGTCCTCTTGGAAGTGGACACTTCAGAATCAAGGGATCATCGGCATACCCACGTTATGGGAGTTCAAGTCCGAAACACCAAGAGCAGTGGTTCTCAACCTGTGGGTCCCCAATTGAATTCGCCTACAACTTCCAGAATTCAAAGCTAGTTTACCAGCTGCTAGGATTTCTGGGAGTTGAAGGCCAAAACGTCTGGGGATCCACAGGTTGAGGACCACTGCCTCAGAGAAACTTTCTTGATTGATTCTCCCCTTTGGTCCCACCATTCCAGGCAGACTTTGTTGTGATTTGCTATCCCTAAGCTTTAAAGAAGACCTAGTTGGAAAGGGATTGTGGGCCCTGGCCTTCCTCCTCTTTCCCTCTAAAAGGCCCTTTGCTGATGGAGGAAGCTTCCGGCCAAAGGGAGAGACAGAGACAGAGACAGGACAGAGCGGAGGAGCAGCAGAAGCAGCAGCGCGAAGGGGGCGGAGGTGGCGGCGGAGGCCCTTACCTTGAGCACGGGGCCATAGCGGCAGAAGTGGCGCGTCAGGTACTGGTCCGTGACGTTGGTCGAGAGGCCGTCCAGCCAGACGCAGTTGGTGGGCATGCTCTTCCCAAAGCCCAGCTGGACACACAAAGAACGGGGAAAGAGGGAAGAAGGTCAGTGCGGGTGCAGGACTGTTAATGCTGCATCTTAGTCATTATTATTATTATTATTATTATTATTATTATTATTATTATTATTATTAGCTATTCCCTGCCACTCGTTGCTGTGGCCCAGTCTGGTGATCTGGAAAATAAAGAATGAGAAAGTGTTGGTTTCTAATATCTCTAATGTCTTTATGCTTGTGTGTAAACAGTATTTCTTGTTGTTTCTTTGTCAGTGTTGATGTGGAGATTGTCTGGTTTGCCTACTCTGGAATATGCAACATATAATTGTCCTTCTTTGGGGCTCCCTTTCAAATCTATTATACTCTATCTCTCTGTGTGTGTGAATCTTATATATCTATATCTATGGCTGGATGGCTCTTTGTCAGGAGGGCTTTGATTATGTTTTCTTGTCCTGGTGAAGGGAGTTGGACTGGATGGCCTTCAGGCAGCATTTCTCACCCTGGGGGTCAGGATCCCTGGGGGGTTCACGAGGGGGTGTCGAGAAGGGTTGGCAAAGACCACCAGAAAATACAGTATTTTCTGTTGGTCATGGGAGTTCTGTGTGGGAGGTTTTGCCCAATTCTATTGTTGGTGGGTTTCAGAATGCTGTTTGATTGTAGGCGAACTATAAATCCCAGCAACTATAACTCCAAATGTCAAGGACTATTTCCCCCAAACTCCACCAGTGTTCACATTTGGGCATATTGAGTATTTGTGCCAAGTTTGGTCCAGATCCATCATTGTTTGAGTCCACAGTGCTCTCTGGATGTAGGTGAACTACAACTCCCAAACTCAAGGTCAATGCCCACCAAACCCTTCCAGAATTTTCTGTTGGTCATGGGAGTTCTGTGTGCCAAGTTTGGTTCAATTCCATCGTTGGTGGAGTTCCGAATGCTCTTTGATTGTAGGTGAACTATAAATCGCAGTAACTACAACTCCCAAATGACAAATTCAATTTTTTTTGAGTGAAGGACATACATTGGGTTGTTAGGTGTCTTGTGTCCAAATTTGGTGTCAATATGTCCAGTGGTTTTTGAGTTCTGTTAATCCCACAAACAAACATTATATTTTTATTTATATAGATGATGATGATGATTATTATTATTATTCTACATAATTACGACAATAGAGTCTCGCTTATCCGACATCAACAGACCGGCAGAACGTTGGATAAACCAAAATGTCAGATAATACAGAGTCTCCTACTGTTGCCAGTCTGACAACTTAGAATACTAACAACAGGGACTCAAAGAGTTAAGGCAAGGCAACACCTCTGGGCTAGAAGGACCCAGCAGGAAGTGCGCGTGGAAATCACACGGGGGAAGAAAGGAGGACGCTTCCGCTTCCTGTCCTGCCTCTTTCCCCCCTTTCCTCCTCCCTCCTCCTCCTTGTCTTGCCTTTCTCGCTGATTGGGAATTGAGAGTAAGTTGGGGAATGTTCCTTTAATAGAAAGCGCAATGATGGAGGAGATAAGGGCGTCAGATAAGATGGCATGTTGGATAAGCGAAGGTCAGATAAGCGAGACTCTACTGTATTATTATTATTGGGTTGCTGTGAGTGTTGTCTGGCCATGTTGAAGAAGCATTCTCTCCTGACATTTTGCCCACATCTATGGCAGACATCCTCAGAGGTTGCGAGGTCTGTTGGAATCAGCCTGGCCTTGAAGCTGCAAGGCTTTGCAATGCTAATCAAGGTGATTAATTGCAACATCCGCACTTGCCTTCAACAGACAAGGGTTCTTTCTTCCTCCCACCCTGGACATCATTCCACAGATATATATATAAACCCAATTTTCCTAGTTTCCAATAGACCTCACAACCTCTGAGAATGCCTGAGAATGGAGCTCTTCCAACAGCTTTTAAAGCTTGACTCTGCTCCTGTAATTGCGGGCGCTCATTGGCTCTACTGCTAACACCCAAGGAGCTTCCAATCTGCTAAACTGCTGCTACTTTGTTCTCTCCCCGTGTGAGCATAGATGTGGGTGAAACGTCAGGAGAGAATGCTTCTTCAACATGGCCAGGCAGCCTCAAAAACTCACAACAATGGCTTTCATGGCCAGAATCACTGGGTTGTTGTAGATTTTTCAGGCTGTATGACCATGCTCTAGAAGCATTCTCTCCCAATATTTTGCCATAGATGCAGGCGAAACGTCAGGAGTGAGTGCTTCTAGAACATGGTCATACAGCCCGAAAAACCCACAACAACCCACTCACAGCAATCCTATTATTATTATTTGCACCCCACTTTTTCCCCTCAAAAAAGAGACTCAAAGCTAATCAATTATTGCAGCATTTACTCGAATCTAATGCGCTGTCGAATTGAATGCGCACCTTGATTTTCAAAACCCCGAAACTCAAAAAAACCAAAAAAAAACAAAGGATCTACCTTATGACACTAATCGAATGTGTAATTTAAATTTTGGGAAGGTCATTTAGTCAAAAAAATGAGCATTACAATTAAGTACATTATTATTATTATTATTATTATTATTATTATTATTATTATTATTGGGTTGTTGTAGGTTTTTCGGGCTATATGGCCATGGTCTAGAGGAGAGAATGCCTCTAGACCATGGCCATATAGCCCAAAAAAACCTATAACAACCCAGTGATTCCGGCCATGAAAGCCTTTGACAATTATTATTATTATTATTATTATTATTATTATTATTATTACTATTATTATCCCAATGAGCATTAGAATTGAGTATTACTACTATTATTATTATCCTGATTTTTCTGTTTACAAAAGGGAGAGCACCTTGCAGTAAAACCCACATCATACAGTTTAAAGCCCCAATCAACACATCAATCAATCAATCAATAAATCAATCAATCAATCAAGAGGCCTTAAAAGGGCGTGAAAGGTGAGTGAGGGCCCCACCTTGAGCCGGTTGTTGCCCAGGTACTCCCCGTCCATCTTCTTGATGGCCTTGCAGACGCTGGCGATGTCGCAGTACTGTAGGAAGGCGTACTGCGGGACCCCGTTCACTTTCTTGATGTCGATGTCCTGTGGGGACCAAAGAAGGGCGTGAGGGACACCTCAGAGGGGACCAAGGTTGGGACGGAAGGGCCACACGGAGACGGAAAACAACACCGAGGGGCCTGTCGGATCACCGTCGTTATCATTGTTGTTATCGACCACCATAATACGTACCACGATCCCTCCGAAACGCTGGAAGATGTTGCGAAGGTCATGGTAAGTGGTGGTTTTCTCCAGGTTGCCAATGAAGAGCGTCCTGGTCGCTTTGGGGTGGAACTCATCAATCCTCTCGTCCAGCGGCCGGAACTCGTTCTCGCTTTCCGTTTCTGGGGGCGGGAGAGGAGAGGTGTCAAGTCCTGTTTTTCGAATATGTTCGAAGATGTATCCCGCATAGAAATACATTCTTATAGAAGAGGCATGGGCAAAGCTCGGCCCTCCAGGTGTTTTGGACCAACTCCCACAATTCCTAACAGTTCAAAATGTGCCTTGTGGTGGATTCCCATTAGGAAAACCCAGATAGCTTTAACCTGCACTTTATTAGTGGATGTGAACCTGGATCGTATCATAATTATCACTAATATTATAGTATTATCATTATTATTTAATTATGGTCATCTGTCAGGAGGGCTTGATCATCGTGTCATAATTATTACTATTATTATAATTATAGTATTGTAATTAAATATATAATTATTATGTAATTATGGTCATCTGTCAGGAGGGCTTTGCCTGCATGGCAGATGAGGGCTAGACTAGATGGCCCAGGTGGTTGCTTCCAACTCTATGATTTTACATTATTACTTTTATTTTATTATTGTTACCATTATATTGTTATAATATTTTACCCTATTATTGTCAGATTGTATTATTACTCTTGCATTATCTTATTATCATTAAATTTTACCCTATTACTGTCATATTCTATTATTATTACTCTTACATTATTATTATATTATATTATTACTATTACTATTATCATTATATCGTTATAATATTTTACCCTATTATTGTCATATTGTATTATTACTCTTACATTATGTTATTATCTGATTATTATCATTATATTGTTATATCATTTTAACCTATTACTGTCATATTCTATTATTATTACTCTTACATTATTATTATATTACTACTATTACTATTATCGTTATATCATTATAATATTTTACCCTCTTACTGTCGTATTGTATTATTATTACTCTTACATTATATTATTATCTAATTATTATCATTATATTGTTATATTTTGCCCTATTACTGTCATACTGTATTATTATTACTCTTACATTATTATCTTATTATTATTATCATTATATTGTTATAACATTTTACCCTATTACTGTCATATTGTATTACTATTACTCTTACATTATTATATTATTACCATTATTATCATTATATTGTTACAATATTTTACCCTATTGTTTTCATATTGTATTATTATTACTCTTACATTATTATATTATTATTACTATTAGTTTTATAACATTGTCATCATTATCATTATAATATATTATTACGTCATATTATTGCTATTATTGCTCTTATATCGTTTCATTCTTTAGCCAGGCAAGGCTAAATTGATTGCATGGATTTTTTAATCAAGTGCTATTGCTATATTTTATTTTTTTGTCTATTTTATTATGTCTGGTTTTAGCATGTTATAGTATTTTTAATGTCAATATACTGTGTTTTATATGTGTTGTGGCACTAGGTCTGCTATTTGTTTCCCTATAAGAGATGGTGGCAGGCTATAAATAAAAGATTATTATTATTATTATTATTATTATTATTATTATTCTGACACAAAAACACAGTATGCCACAGCAAACGAGAGCTGTATGCTGGATTTCATATCACAAAATCACAAATTGAACACTTCCCAAGCCATTAGGACTGTGTGATTTATTATTATTATTATTATTATTATTATTATTATTATTATTGGTTATACAACAGGAGTAGTACACAGCAAACAAGATCGCTTCTGCTGGCTGTTATATTGGATCCCAATATAATGGAACCAACGAGGCAATGACACTGATAATCCAGGGACAAAAATTGTGTTACATAATGTTGTTATATTATATTATATTATAATCACTACTACTACTACTACTACTACTACTACTACTACAATGAATTGAGCAGGTTGACGTGTGATGGGCATGTTCTTTGGGGGGCAGGAAGGCCTGCCTTTGGGGAGTAGTGCTGGGGTCACCAGGGGTCTCACCGGGCCCGATCCAGGCGGTGACCTCGATCTGCATCCCGAAGAAGAGCTTTCCCTTGGAGGCGCCCAGGGCCTTCTCCTGGTCCTCCTGCTGCCGGAAGAAGACTAGGCCGTAGCGCTCCTCTGAGGCGCCGTGGATCTGCACCGAGGTCACCTTCCCGTACTTCTTGAACTCGTGGAAGAGGCCGTCCTTGAGGCTGGTGTCTGCGCCAAAGGGGAGGAGGGTCACCGGAGGGCTGCCCTCTACCCCAGCCCTACTGCCTTCAACCGTCCTCCTTCCTCTTGGACCCACCCACGGAAGACGGAATGCCCTCCAGACCTCAACAAGGGGCCTTCAACATCTGGTTCCCCCTCCTCTCCCACAAAAGTAAAGACAAAAGTAGCCAGAGGCCCCCAACTGCCCCTGAACAATTGCTACCCCCCTTCCTCCCACCCCGGGGGGGGGGGGAGCGGGTGTCAGGAATATTAAAATATTAACTAGGTGTTTTTAATTACAAAACTGTGAATCAAACACTGAAAGGGTTATATGTATGCAATTCGGTATAAGCAGGTGTGCCTGTAGCTTAGTCACCCTCAGAGTGAGAGAGGCCTCAGTGGGAGAGAGGCCTCAGTGTGAGTTAGGCCTCAGTAATTGCATCCATATAACTGAAAGGGTTATATGGATGCAATTCGGTATAAGCAGGTGTGCCTGTAGCTTAGTCACCCTCAGAGTGAGAGAGGCCTCAGTGGGAGAGAGGCCTCAGTGTGAGTTAGGCCTCAGTAATTGCATCCATATAACTGAAAGGGTTATATGGATGCAATTCGGTATAAGCAGGTGTGCCTGTAGCTTAGTCACCCTCAGAGTGAGAGAGGCCTCAGTGGGAGAGAGGCCTCAGTGTGAGTTAGGCCTCAGTAATTGCATCCATATAACTGAAAGGGTTATATGGATGCAATTCGGTATAAGCAGGTGTGCCTGCAGCTTAGTTGCCCTCAGAGTGAGAGGCCTCAGTAATTGCATCATATAACTGAAAGGGTTATATAATGCAATTTGGTATAAGCAGGTGTGCCTGTGGCTCAGTTGACCTCAGAGTGAGAGAGGCCTCAGTAATTGCATCCATATAACTGAAAGGGTTATATGGATGCAATGCGGTATAAGCAGGTGTGCCTGTAGCTTAGTCGCCCTCAGAGTGAGAGAGGCCTCAGTGTGAGGTAGGCCACAGTAATTGCATCCATATAACTGAAAGGGTTATATGGATGCAATTCGGTATAAGTAGGTGTGCCTGTAGCTTAGTCACCCTCAGAGTGAGAGAGGCCTCAGTAATTGCATCCATATAACTGAAAGAGTTATATGGATGCAATTCGGTATATGCAGGTGTGCCTGTAGCTTAGTCGCCCTCAGAGTGAGAGAAGCCTCAGTGGGAGAGAAGCCTCAGTGTGAGGTAGGCCTCAGTATGAGAAGGCCTCCAGTATTTCTTCTTTTTCTTTTTTCCGTTTGATGTTTCTTCATATATACATACCTACATACATATACATACATACATACATACATACATATATACACACACACACACACACACACACACACACACACACATTGTACCTTTTTGTGAAAACTAATAAAAAATTAATTTAAAAAAGAAGGCCTCCAGTATGAGTAGGTCTTCATGTGAGAAGCTTTGGTGAGAGAAGCCCCAAGTTGAAGGCCTCATGTGTGAAGCTCCAGTGTGAAGGCTGCTATGTGTAAAGCCCACTTGCATCCTGTTTAGCTATGCAAGGTGGTCCGTCGCTGTCAAGACCTTGTTGATAAGTGCAAAGGAAAAGAGCCTTTTTCTGCCCCGCTATCAATGCCCTCCTCCCATGGGCCCCAAAGGAGAGATCCCAGACTCCTCTCTGCGCACCATGGAAAAACCATTGCGGCTCCCATCGCTGAGTGTGGCCCTATGGCTCCCAGAACAACAGCCATTGGGACACCAGCCCTGCTCTTCTGGGGGGCTTTCATTCCCCAGCATGGCTCCCTCCCTCCTTGTCTTCCTACCTGTGGAGCGCACGGGAAGGTTCTGGACTTTGATGCCGAAGCTCTTGCGGGGCTCGTCCTTCTCCAGTGGCGGGAGCAGCTGGGCGGCTGGGGCCGGGACGGCCGTCGACTGCACCGAACGGGCCGGGGACTCGTCGCTGGAGGAGCTGCTGGAGTCGCTGCTGCAGGGCCAGAGGGTCAGGGGTCAGCAGGAGGAAGGCCGCAAGGACAGGCTGAGAGTGAGAAGGCAGCCCAATGGCCATCCGGACCAACCCCCTCCTTTCAGCCAGGAAGGAAGACCCTTGAGAGGTTGCCGCCCAGCCTCTGCTTCATCATCACCATCACCATCCTCAAAATAATAGAACTGGAAGGACCCCAGGCATGGACAAAATTGGACCCTCCAGGTGTTTTAGACTCTAACACTCCAAATTCCTAACAGCCTACCGGGGTTTGGAAGCAACCTTGATAGCAACAACACATTTCAGAAGAAGATCTACAAGCCACTCTTAAACACCTTCGCAGAAGCATACGAGAAGCTCGGCCTGTCATTGAACATCGAGAAAACCAAAGTGCTCTTCCAGCCGTCACCAGCCCATCCCTCTCCAGTGCCAGAGATACAGCTTAATGGTGTAACATTAGACAAGGTTGACCATTTCCACTACCTCGGCAACCACCTCTCCAGAAAAGTCAACATTGACACTTAAATACAACACCGCCTGAGCTCTGCGAGTGCAGCTTTTTCTCGAATGAAGCAGAGAGTGTTTGAGGACCAGGACATCCGTAGGGATACCAAGGTGCTTGTCTATAAAGCTATTCCCCTCCCAACCCTGCCATCATCATCATCATCATCATCATCATCATCATCATCATCATCATCATCATTATTATCTTTATTTGTACCCCGCTAGCATCTCCCGAAGGACTCGATGCAGCTTACAAAGGCCAAGGCCTCAAAACACAACACAACAATACAAAACCTAAAGCAAATTAAAAACAATTAAAGCAATATTAAACAATAAGCAATAAACAATACACCAAGACACAATAAAACTGGGCCAAATGCCATATGCCTGCGAAACGTGGGCTGTCTACAGATGTCACATGCAACTCCTGGAACGATTCCATCAGCGCCGCCTCCGGAAAATCCTGCAAATCTCTTGGGAAGACAAGCGGACAAACGTCAGCGTGCTGGAAGAAGCAAAGACCACCAGCACTGAAGTGATGATCCTCCGCCATCAACTCCACTGGACCAGCCACGTTGTCCGGATGCCCGACCACCGTCTCCCAAAGCAGTTGCTCTACTCCGAACTCAAGAACGGAAAACGGAATGTTGGTGGGCAGGAAAAGAGATTTAAAGATGGGCTCAAAGCCAACCTTAAAATCTCTGGCATAGACACTGAGAACTGGGAAGCCCTGGCCCTTGAGCGCTCCAGCTGGAGGTCAGCTGTGACCAGCAGTGCTGCAGAATTTGAAGAGGCACGAATGGAGGGTGAAAGAGAGAAACGTGCCAGAGGAAGGCGCGTCAAGCCAACCCCGACCGGGACCGCCTTCCACCTGGAAACCAATGCCCTCACTGTGGGAGAAGATGTAGGTCAAGAATAGGGCTCTACAGCCACCTACAGACCCACCAAAATACCGATCCTGGAATACTATCCTACTCGTCCAACGAGGGATCGCCTAAGTAAAGTAAGCAACACACAGCACACCGCAACAACAATACTAATTTAACTAGACTCTCTCGTCAGCCAAAAGCAGGCCCAAGCTTCCTATTGAGGTAAGTTTATGTTGCTTAACCGACCCTTGGCCTCCTCCAAGCAGAGTTTGGGAAATACCGGCTGCAAATTACCCAGGGAGGAAGCAGTCAGGCTTTGCAACTGCAAGGCCATTCAATGGTAATCAAGGTGGCCCATTGCAACATTCACACTTGCCACTAATAGACCAAGGGTTCTTTCTCCCTCCTTGAACATCATTCCACAGATATATATATACCCCACTTGCCTCGTTTCCAACAGACCTCTCTGCAGAGACCCTCACTGATTGACTTTGCAGCTGCCATTCCATTCTATGCTAATCAAGCTTTCCGATTGCAACATTCACACTTGCTTCCAACGGACAAGGTTCTTTCTCCCACCCTGGACATCATTCCATAGATATATATACAGCCCAGTTGCCTCATTTCCAACAGACCTCTCTGCAGAGACCCTCACTGATTGACTTTGCAGCAAGGCCATTCAATGCTAATCTAGCTGGCCCATTGCAACATTCACACTTGCCTCCAAGAGAAGGGTTCTTCCTCCCACCCTGGACATCATTCCACAGGAATATATATACAGTCCACTTGCCTCATTTCCAACAGACCTCTATGCAGAGACCCTCACTGATTGACTTTGCAGCTACAAGGCTATCCAGTGCTAACCAAGCTGGCCAATTGCAACATTCACATTGGCCTCAAGTAGACAAGAATTCTTTCTCCCGCCATGGACATCATTCCACAGGGATACACACACACACACATATATACATACACACATTCCACTTGCTAGTTCTATGCAGAGACTCTCACTGATTGACTTTGCATCTGCAAGACCATTCAATGATAATCAAGCTGGCTAATGGCAACATCCACACTTTCCTCCAACAGACAAGAGTTCTTTCTCCCACCCTCGACATCATTAATTGTCACTTGCCTAGTTTCCAACAGATCTCACCACCTCTGAGGATGCCTGTGGGCAAAACGTCAGGAGAGAATGCTTCTGGAATATGGGCAGACAGCCCAGAAAACTCATAGCAACCCCGTGTCAGATCTGCCCCACATTCCTCACTAGGAGCTCTGACAATGGCGCCAAGATTTCTCAGCTCCAACTGTGTTGCTCCATTTGGATCTCATCAAGACCACCCTCCATCGAAGCCAGAAAATCTCCAAGCTCCGTTTCTCACTTCACTCCAAAACACACACTTATTTCCATAAATATTTTACTRTTCCAGAAACCGGCAGGGTTTCTGAGCTGCGTACGTCCAGGTAGATGCGTTGTCGAAGGATACAAAAACAGGGGAATTCCAGACAAGAAACAATTAAAGCCAGCTAATCACCTCTCAACAAAGGATTCCCCCGGGGGGGGGGGGGGTAAGAAGGCAGACCTTGAAAACTGCTAGGCCATCAAATGCTAATCAAGGTGACCAATAGCTACAGTCACACCAAACAGACACCCTGGACATCATTCCACAGGAATATATACACCCCCACTTGCCTCATTTCCAACAGACCTCTATGCAGATACCCTCACTGACTGACTTTGCAGCTGCAAGGCTACTCAATGCTAATCAAGCTGGCCATCTGCACAGATATATAAATATAAACCCATTTTTCCTCATTTCTAGCAGACCCCTCAACCTCTGAGGATGCCTGCCACAGGTGTGGGTAAAACGTCAGGAGAGAATGCTTCAGGAACACGAAACAACCCAACCATACAGAGCGACGCCACGAAACATGGGCATTCCAGGGCTTTCATCCTGAAACTAAGAGGGAGGAAAGGTGGCAAAGGGTCTTCAACATAGGCCTGATCCTAATCCGTTACCCTCCCGATCTGGCCTGGGCTGAGAGGTAAGTCCCATCATCCCCACACAATGGCAAGGCAAAAGGACAGCACAGAGGCTCACCCCAAGGGCGATATAAAAATCACTTGGTGAGTGTGCTAAATGAAAATGCAAAGCACAAAACTGACTGGTTGGGAATACGCCCAGGGACTAGCTGAGCCTGGGAATGTTGGCAACAGTTACATATTTAGGCTGTCAGCAGTGCAGGAGCTTGGGGTTTTGCTTCTGGGCTGCTGGAAGAAGGAATTCCAACATGGACACCTAAGGACCATGTGATTTTCTCTCAAAAGACATTGTGCGAGTCAGTGCAACAGTATATATGTTGCTCTAAATATATACAGGAAGGAAGACCATCCCCAGGACCCACAGAGGAAGTGATCCCCTTGGTCCAGCGGCGTTTGCAAAAGCCAAAGTGTTGCCTTCACAGAGTGCAGCAGGATTAAACAGTAACCAGCTGAAAGGCCCAGTTTTTATACACACACACACACACAAACAAACACTCACAGCGCCTCTGACCTTTGTGCCAAAGCATACACAAGCAAGGAAGGCAGGTTCGCGTTGGGAAACAAAGGCAGCGCGCTCTCCAGGAAATCGGATTGATAACTGAGAACAAGACTCCCAGCAAAGCACACAAACCAACTTGGACACAGTGGATTACTGCTGGATCACTCCCACAACCACCATGTCAGACGACACGGAGAAGCCCTTGAAATCCACAAGCATGTCAATAATTTCAACAGGAAGGAGGAAATCATGAATATGAACAATGGCTCCCAGGATTAAAAAAAAACCTCTAAAATCATAACAGTAAATAAAGAACCACACTCAAAAACAGGGGAACTCCAGACAAGAAACAATCAGGGACAGCGAATCACCTCTCAACAAAGGATTCCCACAGGCAGTAAGAAGCCACACCTTGAAAACCAGGCTGTGGCACAGCTAGTAGTAGCCAGCTGCATTAAATCACTACTGAGCAGATCACAGGAGCTGTCTTCATAGACCGGTCAGTGGCTTATGATATTGTAAACGAAGCCTCCTCCTGAGAAAAATGTATAATATCACAAAGGACGACCACCTCACCCGCCTCATAGGAAACCTGCTACAAAACAGGAGCTTTTTTGTTGAGTTCCAGGGCCAGAGAAGCAGATGGCGGAAACAGAAGAATGGCCTGCCTCAGGGGAGCGTGCTTGCTCCATCCATGTTCAACATCTACACAAATGACCAGCCACTGCCAGAAGGGACAGAGAGCTTCATCTATGCTGATGATCGTGCCATTACCGCCCAAACAGGGAGCTTTGAAATGCTTGAACAGAAGCTCTCCGAAGCTCTAGGTGCTCCTACTGTCTATTACAGGGAAATCCAGCTGATCCCCAACCCATCCAAAACACAGACATGTGCCTTTAAGAATAGACAAGCACCCCGAGCTCTGAGGATGACCTGGGAAGGAATCCCACTGGAGCATTGCAGCACACCCAAATACCTGGGAGTCACTCTGGACCGTGCTCTTACCTACAAGAAGCACTGCCTGAACATCAAGCAAAAAGTGGGTGATAGAAACAATATCATACAAAAGCTGACTGGCACAACC